GACCGCTCCCTTTCACACTAAGGATATTCTGTGCATCATGTGTGATCTCCGGAATGGAGCGCGATTAGATCGTGCGCCACCTCGGAAGCGTCAGATCAAGAATATACATCGTATTTTGTAAGAAGATACAGTGAAGTGAGTGTGAAGGATGAAGACTTGTGTGGAGACGGTAAAGGGGAAACAACAACAGCCATCTCGCAGCTCTGATTCTACCGATTAAGCCAATGACTTATTTGCTCTAGCCCGCGCCACAAGAAACAAAAGGCTATGTATGTGTTAGGGAAGCGAATTGTCTATCGATTTGGGTTAGCTGTAAACACCCTAGGCTCCAGCCAGCCTGTCGATATGCTTGTCACAGATTTGACCTTAAGGGTCAGTATTTTCGGCTCGACCTTGCTTTCTGGCTGACTCGTACGTATCCAACGATACAATCTTTTTGGAGCTACTTGGATGCCCAACTGTCAACCTGTGGCGAAGATCCTTACCACATAAAGTTGAGTGGAATGGTTTTGCACTGGTTTGGTGCTCCACTGCTTCTCTCCACCAGAAGCTCCCCGTCTATGTTTCAGCCAATGACATGATCAGTGTCAAATAATTCCTAAGGAAGTAAATGAATCTGGTTCATGACCTGTGATGCTGCTGGTACAGCTCGAAGCACCGCGCGCTCTGTAAGGGTCCGCAGGGTATATAAAGGCGCGTTTTTTCAGCAGTGAGCTTCACAACACAAGCCTCCCACAGACCCACCAACATATCTAAATCACACAACATGCAATTCCGCGCCCTCTTCGTACAAATTGCCGCTCTCATCCTCCTCCCTGCTGCTCTGGCGGTCCCCGCGGCCGACAGCACCCAGCTCACCTGCCAACTCGGCGGGATATTCGGCGGAGCTGATGCCGCCTGCTCTGCCAGCTGCATTGCCCAGAGACAGGGCTTCCACGGAGGGTTCTGCAATGACCGTACGTACCTACTTGTCAGACGCTTCCCAGGGGCGACTGGTCTTATTTGACCCATAGAAAAAGTTTGCATCTGCACCCACTGAGAAGGACAAGGTGTAATATAACAGCAAGCCTAGCAAGGTGCGCTATCTTGAGGCTGTGCGATGGCCGGGTAGCCGACAACTAATTTCGTTTGTCGTTAGATTTAATGTTGGGTTTTGAATCTGGACTTACATGCCTGTATCGTTTACTTCTTAAATACTATGTTGTTTCTGTGTACATGTTTTGGCTAGAGGCGCAAAGCCGCGATCAGCATCAGGCAAGGACAACACGTGCGATATGTATTCGCTGTGTTCCGCTCTTGGTAAACCATGATGGATATATCGTTCGACGATAAAGCACTTTCTTGACCGGATCCGAGCGTGCTCGAAAGGAACAAAATGATGCAAGTCTATATCCATGTAATGCTGGGATATCGAGGTGTCTAAGATCTATCTGCTGTCTGCCACGCTACCATTCACCGTCAAAGCCCACGAACCCTATTGAAAGGATTTTCAGATCTACGGTTCGTCGTGTACGGACATCATGCACATACCTGTCAGCAAGAAAATTGGGAAGTATCGCTTCTTCTCGAGCGACGCACACCAATTCCAGGCGCTCGTCAACCTTCCATCAATGCAACTGCCAGCATCAAAGAAGTTGTCTGCACCGGAGCCATCGAAACCATGCCTAAAGAAGTCGCCCAGGATCTCCCGAATTAAGTTCTCCGTTGATCCGAACTCGTCGTCAATATATGACCGCAAGGCTGGCTTCGCCGTCAGAGATGGGATTTGTGAAAGGGTATTGCAGATGGGGAGAAGGATGCGGTAGATCTGGGTATATTTGTCGATGAACATTAGAGCGTTTGGCACGTTGTGGTCGCCCATGTGGATGACGCTGGATCCGATCCATGTGCCGACGCTCTGCTGGGCTTTGTGAAGGATGGTATGCATCATGCGGGATGTTTTGGGTGCAGCTTGGACACGGTTCAAGCCCTGGCCAGTATCTCGCAGGCGGTATGGGACATTTTCAGCAAGCAGATCTTGTTCCGCAAGTGACCAGAGGTGGAACATGTCTGAAGGAAAAAGATGTGAGTCTCTGAACAGTGATGGCGAAATTTAATAATCACCATGCAAAATCTCTCTCCATAGCGTCAAGCTCTGAAGAACATATGCGTACTGTTTAGCATGGTCATGAGACAACCTCGCACCACCCTTTCCACTGCGAATAGCAAGACTTGTTTTGCTATCTTTCGCCTGTGTCGGGTGGAAATTCTCTCGCAAGTAAGTAATCATCCGTTCGCAAGGATCACGGTTGGCTCGCAGGAAAGCGTGATTGTCGCCGATGGAGTAGAGGCATTGCCGAACATTTTCTTGGGAGAGCCCTCTACGCTCGTATCGTGACGCAAGTGTCTCGATGGCACGTTCCTTGCTTTTGATGTCCTTTTGAACGTCTCGCCGGGGCCGGCCCTCGGAATAAATTTCTTTGGTGGCGATGGTGATTAGATCGTCTCGAAGCAGGTCGATTGCATCGTGCCCCTCCAAAATTGCATATACGGTTTTGATAGGACGTATACAGGAAAAGCTGAGGAGGTCTTTGACATCCGGCGATTGGCTATCCTGTATACTAGAATTAGAATGGGTGTACGACACGGTAACGCTTGACTGACTTGTAGAAGGTATATAAGCTTCCCGTATGTAGTTCGCATTTTGTCAGGGTTCATGATCTTATGCCTCCGTCCCAGCTCAAAGATCTGCTGGTAAAATTCTGCATTGGCTTGGAAGTCACGATCTGTAAACAATTCCTGGCCCTGCTTATAGTCGGCAGCGAGAAGCAAGCCAGACATGATAGCACAGAGTTCTCGGATCTGCTGCACGATTCTCTTTGGCTTCGAGAGCCCGAACCCGATCGTATCAATCTTGTCCGTATACTCGGAGACGTTAAGAGCAGCTTCTAACAGGCGAAGGTACTTCCGCTCAGCGATTGAAAGGCGAAGAGGGATGTACTTTGCGCGTTCTACGAACCACTCGCCAACCTTAGCGCCGACGGCAGGTTGCGCGCCACGCACTTCAACAGATGGCCCGGCGGCAACACGCTCCCAATCCTCGTCGTCAGACTCATCGTTGGCACCATTTTCCTCCACATCCATCTATGCACATGGTTAGTCGACTGTCAAATAGTTATATGATGACATAGGAGGAATCTCACCGAGTCTCCATTTGCGGCGGAAGTAGAAGCACCACTCGTCTTCGCCTTCTTCTCTGTTTGTCCAGGAAGGGGTTTTACAGCATGTCGCTTCCTTGAGCCTTTCCTGTGCTGCGCAGCGAAACACACTTCACAGTACGCATCGGAGCATGTTTCGCACGACACTTGGGCAGGCTGATCTATCGACCATCGATATAACGAGATAAATTACATGAAATGGCATGTAGTCTATGCAAGCTTACCTTCACACTCAACGCAAAATCCCTCGACAGCTACATTTTCAGGTACTTCCTCGTCCCAGCCAGTGGGGGCCACACCGTTGCTGCCTGGGTGCTCGACGGCCTCATGGTTGTTGCTCAGGATGGTTTCGAGTGAAAAGGCGGTGATAGGATTTGCTGTCTTGGTGGCATCCTCTATAATAGAGGGAGTGCCTGACATGTTCGAAGACGGCAAGTGATGGTTGGACGTTAAGCGCTAAGCGTCAAAAGTCGAGACAAACGTGGATGCAATGATGCTTTTCGGCGACTCCACAAATTTTCGCCGACGCGTCAAGGCACGTGGCCAAATTAATCTGATCACTCAGAGTCATTGCCAACGCCAACTTACAACTAAGTTACAGCTAGTTACAGACAACATTGCCAAGTCCAACTTGCTGAACACAGTCCATTGGTAAACATCACCGTCGACCAGTCGTCAGCTGGCTGAAGCCAGAATTTCTTATCCTACCGGATATTCTGTCTCTGTCACTTCTCTTGGGAGTTTCCAGCTGGCTGCGAAGAGCCACTGACCGAACACCGCACTACACCGCACCTCCAAGTTCAAACCAACGACGACGACGGCGAGGAGACTCACTTTACTGGTGCTGCTTATCTGACCCTTGGACTTGGTTTTACATGATCCTCGATCCCTGGGTTTCTTGTTCCGTCCGCTACTGTTGTTCAAAACGTATGGCTAGATCATCTAAGCCTACTACTCACGCCAAACTGTCATCATTGTGTCCCATGCTCTTTAATCAGATAAGTTAGAGGCTATCACTCTCCTTGGGGCTAATGGGTCGGTGATGGCGCAGCTGGAGCTGCTAACTCAAGAAGAAGTTCCAACCGCTAACCCTCCCCCCCCCAATTTGTTGCCTGTAAATTACGGTGACAACCCAGCCACCCCCATTCCACGGAACATCATCTCCCTTCCTTAAGAAATCATCGACATGATCATCGAACTGTCGACAGGCCCTGGCTGTGTGCTCCCTAATATCTAAAGCATGCATGATGCGCACCTGGTATCATCTCTTTTCAGACATCTTGCTCAGCCCCCAGGATGGTGGCCAGATATCTCAACCACCACCTTCATCGACATTCTGCTATTACGTGTGCACAGATCACTTCTCCCATCCGGTATCGAGCAATTTTCTCGTATCACCTCGTTTTATCTTATGCACTCGACCCCGAACGCCGACATGACAACCAGGATGCCGAATATGTTTCCTATGCTCAGCTTCCTCGAGCTCAACCGAATAATCTTCAGGTCCTTTGAGCATACTAATGATCAAGATGATCTGCTCCTTCCCGCTCTTAGATCATGATGCTTTGACTCTGTATAGCTCTGTATTCGTGCGGGTACAAGGGCTACGGGCGAACAATTGGGAAAGCTTACCACCATCTTTGCGTTTATCACGACGTTTACGGACACTGAGTACTGAATCTTCACATGGGCGCAGCGACATTAATCTATCAAAATAAGGTAGATCTAGGTAGATGGTGACATTGTGCCTATAACTTAATGAGCCAGACTGGTACTGGTAATCAACTCACTTACTTCCCACAAGCCCCCGTTGTCTAATGGTTATGACGTCAGACTTCTACAGCCGTGTCTGTTATCTGGAGGTTGCGGGTTCGAATCCCGCCGGGGGTTCATAAACTGGGGAGTCATTTCGCCTTTTTTTCACTTATATTCACGAGTATATATAAGTCTGAACCAGCGACCATCGGTGTTACGTGTAGTATCATTATGCACCTTGCCGCTCGCGTTTATGCAGGCTTTACGAAATGGAAAATATGATATGTGTGCAGATAAAATTACATTGAAGGTATATCGGGAAACTGGAAGGTATAAACTAACTAGAGGGAATAAATCCGAATCCACCCCACAGTCCTGAACGGATTCTACTTCCGAGCCCGCAACTGTGCTCTTAGCTGTCCATTTTCTGTCTGCATCGAGTTCAACTCGTCGAGCAAGGCGATCCTCTGTGACTGCTCGGACGTCCGCATCGCCTCGACTTCATCCTGGGCCGACTCGAGGGCTGCTCGCGTCTCCGATAGCTGCCCTTCGAGGTGCCTCCGCACCATTTCAGGCGCAGACGCAGCCTCTTCAGCGAGTGTAAGCGTCCGAGCGCTCAGGGTATTGTTGGCCTCCGTCAATTGCTTGCACGTCTCTGCCTGCTCAAGAGCCAACATCTCCACCTCCCGCTTCTCGTTCTCAATGCGCTCCAATGAACTCTGAAGCTGCTGTAGCTCTTCCAGTCTATACAGAGGAAAGAAAGGTTAACAAAACACCAAACACAGCAGGGATGAGACTTACAAAGCGGCCTGCTTTGCAGCCATAGTCATGTTCCTCTCCTCCAAAATACGGACTTGCTTCTGGTACGTCTCTAGCGCGGCGTTACCCTCGTGTGCGAGCTTCTGTGCACGCTCTGCATTCTTCTTGAGCAGATCATGCGCCTGGGCGAACCGCAATAATCGCTCTATCAGCGCACGATCGTCCTGGATGAGGGCCTGCACGCGCGCTGCGAACGCCTCAATCGAGAACTCGCCCGGGCTCGCCATAGGGGACATTGGCTGACGCGTCGAATCGTACAGTGACTTGAGTGAGCGCACGTCGAGCTCCGAGAGCGACGCGACTGGTTTAGCGGATGCACCGTTCCGGTCTAGCGTGGGCGAGCCCGTGCGGAACGCCCTGGTGTTGTTGAACTTGGCAGCGCGTGCTTCGGGAGACGGAAGGATGTTCCAAAGGGGTGTGAGCACTTGCGTGATGCGGCCGACCGAGTCTGAAGATGCCAATGGAGAGACGGGCGATTGCAGGCTGCTCGGATCCTTGGCAAGACTCACGCGTTCAACTGCACGGATGGAGTCCCGGGCCCCGTCTCGTTCCTGGCGAGCATACTCGAGATCGCGAGCTAGAGCTTCGCGTTTGTCGAGGCCTGCTCGGACGTCTTCTTCAAGCTTCCTCCGTACCGTTTCCCACTCGTTCTCGGCTCGTGCGTGTGACTCCAATTTGGTGTGCACAGTCTCGAGATGTGTTCCAACGGATGAAAGGAGTCCCTGCAGCGAAGAGTCTCGAGAGAACAACACGATCCCATGCTGCTGCACTAATGTCCGCAATGCATCGAGCCCGGCGTCTAGCTCTCCGTGAGCTTGTCGCAAGGCTAGGTCATCCTCGTCTCGTACAGCATCCATCTCCTGCTGTAACTGAGCTAGCTCATCGATCTTCTCATCCTCTGCTTCAGCCTTCCTCCGCTCCCACACTTCCCTCTCGGCCTGCCATTGGGCTGTGATTCGTCGAATCTCCTCTTCCTTCTCCTGTAGCATTCTCCGACTGTCCGACAGCTCCTTCTCAGAGCCTGCCACTAGCCCTCCCCGATTCGTCTCCATTTCCTCCAACCTTGTCCTTAGCACCTGCACCTGCAGTGTTTGCTCCTGCAGCCTCGTCCTTTCCTCTCCCCATGCCTTCCTCTCCTCCCGCAGTTCCTGCACCTCGCCATCGAGACCCTGAAGTTTAGGAAGCTCCATTTCAAGCGCTTTGATAGTTTCCTCTGCACTCTGTAGGTCCATCCCCATCATTGTTTCCACCTCCTGCTTCTCTAGCTTCATCATCAACAATTCCCTCGTCAACTCTGCCTGCTTCTTCCCCGCAGCTGTCAACGACACTGTTGCCGCCTTTAGTTTCTCCTCGAGCACCGTGATTTCCGCTGCAGCAGCTTCACTTGAAAGCTGGCGCCGGGGTACAATGGTATCTACATGCCCCGCAAAGAGATGGAGACCGTCGAAACGTGCCTTTGAAGAGGTGGGGAAGCCCGTCATACTTGACGTCGTGGGGCTCATCAGCGTACTCCTGTTCGATGAATCGTAACCTGAATCTTCCCCAGCTCCAGTTCCGGGACCGTTGCCGATCTTCTTCTCCATGCTTCGGACTGAATGTGACAGCACTCCGGCGCGGTGCTCAAGCAACCGTCGGTGCACCTCGTGTGCCCGCTCTGAGATGCGCCACAGGTCTCGCTGCGCAGCATCCACGCGGCTATTAGCAGCCTTGAGCTGCTCCTCTGTCTGCTTGGACACCCGTTTGTGCGCAGCGTTGACTTTGGTAAGGGACACGGCTGCATCACGGATCTTGGTTTCGAGGGTTAGCTTCTTGGACATGGCTTCGAGCCGAGAGGTCAGGATATGGTGTTCCTATGAAGTACAAAATAGCCATGAGTTCCTGGGTAAGATTTTAGGTTAGGACATACCTTAGTTAAATCATCGATTTGTTCTGAGCCTAGAATTTCAAACTCACGACTGTCGACGACAGCCTGGGATGCTAGGAGACTGAGGAGGAGTTCATCACGGGTGTTTGCTGTCCCAGACGAGCTACTCGCGGCAGAACTCCGTTTCCAATCAGCATCAGGGGGAGACTGTGAATGTGCCACGGTCTTGCGGAGGGTTAGGCGGTTGGGTGGGACGCGTGATGAGGAAGGGGAAGAGGATGACCCTGCGGATTGACGAAAATTTGAGTCGGAGGTGGAGGTTCTCGTCTGTTCACCGTCCGGCGGTGGAGGGGAGTCGAAGCGCTGCCTGCTAGGTTCCTTCTTGAAACTTAGGGGAGGCGTGGGTGGTGTTGCTGTGGTCGGGGATGACGGCGGCCATGAGGGTCCGTTGATGGCTTTTGCGCTGAACGAGAGTGGGGCAGTTGGCGGGTCTACCGTGGCCGACGGGGGAGACGAGCTGGTGGAGGCGGTCGCAGCGCCGAGGAACCTGCGGACGCCATTCATGGCGGTGTGTGGGATGTGCTCAGCGGTGAAGGGAAAGTGTAGTTAGGCCGTAACCCTAACCTTATCCCCATGTGCTTACCATGCCGTTTCCATTGCCGCCAACGATCGACACCCATCTTCCATGCGTCCATGTCCTTCACATTCAACTGGCCTCGCTTTTCGGACCAGTTCCACTTCGATGCCATACAGATGCTCAATACCGCCCTCAACAAGGGCAACAAACCCCCCATCATAGCCGACCGCATCGAGGTCGTCGAGCTCGAGATGGGTACACAGGTGCCAATCATCTCTCATCCCTCCTCTCCATGTCTATAATACTCTCCAGCCCCCAGAACTGGAGATTCGGGATATAGGTGACTTGACCGTTGATCAATTCAGGGGCATTTTCCGCCTCACATATTCTGGCGATGCACACCTTGTTCTTAAGACTAAAGTCCAGGTATGTCTCCATCTTTGGACTATTTGGTTCAGAATTTAACATCTTCTATCAGGCAAACCCATTAAATCATAAGCAACCCGATATTCATCTTATGGCTGGCTCAAACGGCATGCTTGCTGCAAAGCAGCCCCTTGTCGTGCCTATGCTTCTTCGGCTATCGCACTTCAAACTCAACTCATATGTTGTCCTCGTCGTTTCCAAACAAAAGGGTATTACCCTCGTCTTCAAGACCGACCCCCTGCAAAACGTTGACATAAACAGCACGTTTGACTCAATAGCTGTCATTCAAAAGTTTATACAACGCGAAATTGAAGGTCAGCTACGCCAAATGTTTCGCGAGGATCTCCCTGGCATCATACACCGCCTCAGTCAGCAATGGGTCAAAGCTAAAGTCGAGGCTCCATACCTGCACAAAAACCCGCCACCACCTGTCAACAAGCAACAGGCATTCGAAACACATTCCACAGCTGGCGCGTCCTTCAGAAGCATGCCGCCCTCCCCACACATCGGTGTCCCTCCAGTCATTCCACGGCGACCTCAATCTGCGACATCTATGAGAGCTTACTCCTATCCCAGGCGGCCACGTTCCGCGTCTGGCTATTCTTCGACATCTGTTCCTAAACCCAGATCACCCAAGCCAACTTTGCCTCCCACGCCTTCCGAACCTGTATCCTTCCCGGATCTCGAGAACTTCGATCCGACATATGGTCTACGTCCTGAAGGTATCCCAACCAAAAGTGTATTCCGCGGCTTCAGCAACCTCTTTACTCCAAATAAAGGGCTCGCTGATCTTACAGAGGACTCTGAAGAAGACGAGGAATTTGATGACGATGACGACGGCGCCGCCTCATTCGACATCATCAATTGGAACTACACTGTACCTGATTCCAACACCAGCGTCTATGTGGATGCAGCGGAGAGCGTAACGCGAGAATCCGGCTACGAGACGATACCGGCCGTTGGAGGAGGGACAATCACACGGCCGAGAATATATCACTCCCAGTCTATGATCCAGCCTTCACTCAGCCCAGACAATGCCATCGCTTCATCATCGAAACACAGACATCCATTGCACTCCTATGGGTCTATGATCCCCCCAAGGTCCGGATTCACTACGCCAGGCCTGGTTTCTCAGCGCTCGAGTGGAATGTACAACCCTTACTTCGGGGGGATATCTTCTGCACACAGCGTGACGGGTGGATTCCCCACGGCGCCGCCATTCGGTTCGACGCCAGGCCGCCCAGTCACGCCGGACAGCCTGGAAACCCAGCCATCAAGGTCGAGCAGTGGCCGTGGCTTCTCAATATCAACGCCCCCAACAGAGTATCCTGAGCACGACGACGACTATTATGACCCCAATCAAAATACACTACGCGACTCCATCGCGTCCATACCGCACCCTCCCCCAGCTCCAACCACTGCGCCTTCCTCTCGCCGCCCTTCCGTCTC